TGTTCTGGGTTGCTGCAATGCATTTGTGCTCGTTTGAATAATGTTCTTACACAGCTCCTCTTGTGGGAAGTAGGGTTACTTTGGTAGTGGAGTACTTGATTAGCATGGGTTGTCTTCCGATAGACTTGGGTTTCTAATTTGCTGTTGTTTCCTCTGCTGATGAGGATATCTAGGAAGGGTAGCGTGTTGTTGTTTTCTTCCTCTCTGGTGAATTGTTTTCTTCCTCTGTGCCGTCACTAAGCCCACAACCATATGACATTGTGCTTTACAACCATGTCACTTAGCAACAACAATTCCAGTCCCAATTGTTGTCGTAAGCCGAGGATTACCTGTAGATATGTTTTTTTAAAAAAAAATCTTAGTTCCCCTCTTGTAAATAATTGCTTTATTGTAGGGAGTGACAGACAGACATCCATCTCTCTCTCTGTCTCTCATTCTCTCTCTCTCCCCCCTCCCTCCCCCCCTCTCTCTCTCCCCCTCCCCCGTAGGTTGGATGGCATGGACTACTATCCCACCTAGTCTTATAGCCCTAACATTTAACAAAAGGGAGGAAATGGTTTGTTCCAATTTCTCACTGTTTCTATGAACACAGCATTGAGTCCTTTTCAGTGGAACACAAAACTTTAACATTCTTGAATGTTTTATTCAGTTGGAGTATAGTCCATAGCAGAATGAACATTTTGAATGGGGCTGTTTTGTTCTAAGTTTGAAGCAAAACACATGTCTTATTTTATGTGTAAGCACTTAGTAAAATATTGGTAAAATATTGTACTTGATTATTACTGCCAGTTTCATTTTGCCTTTTAAAGTCACTACTTGGAAGAAAGGAAGTACTCTTTGGTGGTAGGGGTAAAATAACATTGAAGGCAATTTATTTTTCTAGTTGACGATATTATGACATTTTTTTTCTAGAAGAATATATATATAGGCACAAACAATCTTGAATGCCCCTAGGGCGGCACATATAACACCTCTGTTACGCGAGCTGCATTTGTTGCCAGTTTGCTTCCGGGTCCAATTCAAAGTGTTGGTTATCACCTTTAAAGCCCTTCATGGCACAGGACCAGGTTATCTGAGGAGCTGTCTCACCCCCGTTATACAGTGGGGCAAAAAAGTATTTAGTCAGCCACCAGTTGTGCAAGTTCTCCCA